TGTATCATTATTCCCATTTTTCAGATGAGGAAACTGAAGCCCTGAAAAGTTAAGTAACTTGCACAAGGTCAGAGATTTGGTGAAGGATTAGGTTGAGTTCTATCAGATTCCAAAGTCATTCTCTTGCCACAGTGCCAGGCTGTCTTGCATAATGAGTATGTGAGTGAAGAATGAAAAGGAGTTAATGGAATGGCCATTCCACTGTTCTTTCCACTACTTCACTTGGTGAATGACTAATAAGCAAACACTCCCAGAGGGTATTTGCATTTTAAAAGAGGAGCTCATTAACCCTAATGAATCTCTAATTGGTGGAATTTGTGGGGGAGATATTTCTGAACACTGGGGCATTCTCCTGTGTCTTCAAGGTGCCTGGTTATCCTTTTCTTCTCTGTAGACAATCAACTGTTCTGGAATCAGAATTAGGTAGCAGAGTGCAGTCACCTATACTCTGCCCCAAATGCAGCTAGCTGAATGAGCTAACAAGGACTTGTGAAAGATTCACCTAAAGGAAAGCAGAAGACAGGTATAGCTTACAACTATGTGAAATGAATTTTCACAAGCTCAATAAGGATTTGGCAATGCAGAGGGTCTTTTAAAGAGTCTAGGTAAAAATAATATATTACAGTTATTCTTTTTAAAAAAGAAAATATCAAAATCAACAAATAAGTATGAACAAGAGACACTCTATGGGGGATTGGGGGTGGGGAAAGGAGGGCTTTGGGTAAAAATAAGGGGGTTGTAATTGTATGGGGAATATAAAAATAAAATTTAAATTAAAAAAATAATATATTACATAATCAATTTGAACTTCAGAAACATTCTGTTGGGATTTCCCATAGTGTGGTCATGGACCTTTCCAAGATATTTAATAGGTATCGGAAGAAAAAATGGCTACCTTGTCAAACATATCATGAAAATCTAAAAGTTTCTTTACTGTAGAATTTCTCAGAGCCTTTAATGTGTTCAAGTGCAGTGGAAAGTAGCAGGCAGGCTAAGACACTGTAGGAGTATCTCATACGACTATCTCATGTTTTTGACCATGGAAATATTCCCTCCATGTGAACCCTGTGGAGCTGGTGTTTTGCAGACTGCATTCTCAGTTACAGAGTTCTAGATAAATCCTCTCTAATTAAAGAAAAGGAAGAAAATAGTTTCATGTATTCACAGATTTTCATAGGCAGGCAGGTTCCAACCTGGTCCACACCAGCCCATTGCCAGTCTGTTTGCTCTGTGGCAGGCCAGTAGCAGCACACCTCTTCTCTAGATAAGATCTGGCCTATTTAGGGGGAAAAACAGATGGAGACCAACTTCTCATCTTTACTGCCTATAAAGCAGATCTTGAGGAATTGTGGCATCTATCAGGGAGCAAATGGATTCCCTAATCTGAATCTCAGATTTCATCTGGGCACCCTCCAGTGCCCAGAGGAGGACTGGTGGGGGGTGGGAGGCAGAACCATATGTTCTCTGTGGTCCTTCCATTTTCAGTATAGGGGAAGAAGGTTTAGAACCATTTGTAACCAAGTCCCTCCAAATCACCAACCCATGGAGTATACAATGGAAGGAGGCCTGGAGGGACTGTTACAAGAGCCTTCTCTACATTCAAGAGGAATGAGGAGTAAGGTGCTCCTTCACCTTCCCACCTCCAGCCCAAACAAGTCTCCTTTAGAATTCCCCTCCCATCACTGCCCATCTCCTTTCCACCTTCCCTATCTTGGCATTCATTCTTGACCACTATTTTCCCTCTCCCTCAACTTAATTTAGTCAGTAGAATGGGATCATGCTGATACTCTGTTCACTGCCTTTTTAAAAGATCTCCTCCCATAACTCAAAGATCATTCAACTTTTAATCCCAGAAAAGATGGTACATAACATTCTCTAAAACAGGAACGGGAAAATTATGGTCTGTCACCTGTTCCTGTAAGGCAAGTTGTACTGGAACACAACCACACCCATTAGTTTTGTATCGCCCATGCCTGCCCCAGGCCATGATGGCAGAGTTGTGAAGATGTAACAGAGATTTTGGCCCTTTTGTGGAATGGTTATCCTTTGCGGAAAAAAATTGCCAACCTCTAATGTAAAATACAGATACATTTCTGAATGAGCTGCTTGGATGTGTATAAGCAGCCTTTATCATTTGCTCATTCCAAATAAAAACTTCAAGTCAAGAGAATGGCATGGTTCTAAAATGAGGAATTTCGCCTCTTGTACAATTGTTTCTAGTCTTGCATACTCCTGGGAGAACATCAAGGAGAATGTGTGTTTGCTTTGAAGGACTGGAGGAAGGACAGAGGCTTGCTCTGGTATTTGGCATCGCCGGTGCAAAGGGAAGAGAACAGATAATGCAGGGGCCCTGTGGAAGGAAAAAAGAATAGAGTAAAGTATTAGGGGCCCCAGGGGAGTTACACTAGCAGAGATCCTTCAAGATTTGCAGTATCTTAGAGACCAGATTCTTCCTACCTCAGTTCCTTTCCTTTGGAACCTTCTCTCAGATCATAGATGTCAGGAATCTGATTCTGCTCCCACTGTTACTACCTGGGAGACCTTGAGCAAGCCAGTGAGTGCCTCAGCCCTTTCAGGGGTTCACGCCTGTAAGTTGGGGTGGGGAGGGAAGGAGACGATGGTTGTCTTAATGTGCCCCAGTGAGAATCAAATATGGTGTTGTCAAAAAAGCTTTACAAAATGTAAAGAACTGTGGAAAGGCTGGTTGGTTTTGTTATTCTTTTTATAACAGCTGACTTGTAAATGAAAACTCTGAATCTATTCAGCATATAAATTAGAGTTAACTGATAATGAAGTGCTTTAGTTTTCAAACTTTGGTCACATCCATCTTTACATATTAAAAAAGTATCAAACTTTCATTTGGGTTATAAAAAAAAAAGAAAAAAAACCTGAATTTGTATGTGATAGTCATTCTTCAGTAGGAGGGAGAAATTCAAAAATTAAATTTTACTGTGACCTGTTCTTTTCTGTTCATTGTCTATGTAGTTTTCATTTTGTGCCATTGTTTACAGAGAATAATCTGGCAGATGGCATTTTCCCCTGTAATCAGTTCATGTCCTATCTGAGTCATCGCCAGACATGGCATTTCAGTAAATAGTGATCCTACAGTTGCTTCCAGGCACATGTGTTATATGCTGTCAAGAACAGTGACTGATAAGCTTCTGGCTGTTCAAGCTACAGGGAGAAATGGAGAACGTTCTCTATGGGTAAATACCTTAGAAAGAAAAAAATGGCAAAAGCAGCACAGACTTCGTGCTGGATGATTTTAGCCAAATTCAGTGTTTGTGTGACTTTGGATGGAGCAATGATCATTTTAAAAAGTAAAAAGTCTTCCTTGAGTAGATGGTAGCCCACATTGGGTAATACATGTTTTTGTCCATCAGACATGTGAGTTATTAAACACCTCTTGCCCTCCTTGCTCAGAGACTCCCTTTACCTTGGTGCCTCACGTTGCCTATAATCATGCAAGTAAAGCGCCTTGTGCATCTGTTTTGGGACCTTTAGATTGGAGTTGATGACTTTATCCCTGACTTTCAGAGACAAGGGGGATTTCTGAAAACAAGGCTCTTCTTAATGTGCAAATAGTCCATTTGCACAATCACTTACATCAAGCTAGCTGTTTGACATCTTAGATACAAAAGGAGGTTAATTTAATTTTTCACTTAACAACTAGTAACTTTATTCTATTGATACACCCAGAAGTTCATGAGGTATTCTTCCTTGATGTTAACCATTGATAAACTTTTGTGTTTCCATGGAAAAGTTACACTTTTTGTTAACTTCTTTGTTATCTCCAATTAAGACTCATTACCTTACCTATATCAACAGATTGTATATTTATTAAAGGCTTATTTTATTTATTTTTGCTTTTAAGAACTGGGGTGAAGGCCAGAGGTGTGGGAGGATGAGAGGATTCACCAGAGACAGAGTGGGGAACAGAACAGGCAGACTGACTGAAATACACTGCTGAGGGGAGCAACAGACCAGACAGGAGAGGTCTGCATTGCCATGTGGGTCACCTCCCTGGCCAGCCAGGGATCAAACTCTTGCTGCAGTGGCTGACCTATAGCTTGACAGTGCTGAGACTTCAGCACTGCAGGGAGGCCCTGGAGTCATAACTTTTAATGCCCGTAAGTCATCATCTATGAATTTTGCAATCATCCCTGTGGTGGACATTTCTGAGCTGGCTTAATGTTATGGGAAGAGTAGTTTACAAATTACTAAATTGACCAGTCATTATGCCTTAAAGAAGTAGGCTAATTGTTTCTTTACCTACCATGTGTTAATCACAGACCATTAGTGATAATTGATAAGCTAAAATAGACCATTAACAAATTTAATTGTGCTTATACTTACCTATATCTGTGTCTGTCCTGTCTTTGGAGCCAGGCTAGTCATCATCTTCATTTAGTAATAACCACCCAGGCACCAGCCTCAGGAACCAAAGGTTTATTTATGAATATTTTCATTGCTCCTTCCTGCTGTAAAGATGATTTAACATTTGATCAGTTATTACACCACACACACACACACACACACACACACACACACACACACACAGGTATATACTCTGAGGTAGATATACAGAAATATAAACAAATGCTTACAAAAAAGAATAAGCCTAATTAAAAAAAATCATTTGGAGAACAGCTATTCACATTATAAGGCTTTTTAATTTGAAAATAATTTGCCTTTTCTCTAAGTCATAAGTTTTCTACTTTATTTGAAATATGACTTCATTTACAGGATATGAATTTACTTGATTTTTTTTTCCAGTGTAATCCTATAAAGCAGGATAAATGTATGGTTCAGAGTGATTTATGAGAAGACCTCTATAAAATTACTGGTTGAAAAAAATTAATTATTGACTCCATCACAAAAGAAATAGTTGTTGCCTCCATAATGTGAAACACATAGTAATAAAAGACATTGCAATTAAAATAGAAGACAGTTTGGTCTCAATAATATAGTAAAGTTGTTTTTTTTTCTTGCTTTCATAGGAGATACAGCAAATGAACAAAGAACAGCAGCAAGAGGTAAAGTTTCAGAAGTAGAAGGCAACCTGCCTTTGGAGGTAAGTGTAACTGGATTAATCCTTTTGGAGTGCAACTGAAAAAGTCACTGTGATTATATTTTCCTTTGAGGCTGTATAAATAACTTCTGCTTTTGCTATGTAGACAGATGCCTAGTTATCAAGAAAAAGGTGATGTATTAAAAAGTCGGGTTGGCAATACAGCAAGTGACTTCCAAAGTGCTGTGCTTTAGCTTTCACTGCTGGAAATGGAAGCTTTCTGTTGGGAGAGAGGAATAGAGCACTTATGTTAAAATTTTTGAACTATTTTAATGGAATGATTACTTTCTAATACACTGGGAGAAGTAGACAATATATGAACCTATAGAGAAAGGTTTGAAAATAACCTATTCAGAACTATTTTGCTTTTTCTACCATCAAAGTGCACTCCTTATCATTGTTAAGCAGAAAGACTAGGGGATGTATTCTTGTCCACATGAGAAAATGATGTGCTCATAGAGGGTACTTGAAAATGTTGTTGGGATGCTTTGTTATGCTATGTAGAAACATACTAACATTTAATAATTAAAACAAGCACTTTCAAGACTCAAGACTGGGGGAATGTTGATTATCAGGATGGAAGAGAAATCCATGAACTTTGAAAATCTACATGGTAACATACCTCTACTTAATTTCAACTTGTAACACATGTGTTCTATGTGTTGCATACAGCGAGAGTGAGGCTGGGGACCTGGCCTGTTTGTTTTATCACAGTGTCCCCTACTCTAGCACAGAGTAGGTATCAAAAAGATTTTCTAGAAACTTAATGTCTTCAGTTTTTGCAAGCATTTAGTGAGCATTTAGTGAGCATTTAGTGGCATCTTCGATAGGAAATAAAGATTGAAGTTTGGAAAGGAACCACCAAGATGGTTTAGATGTCATCCACGATGACTTGGGTTTAATTGCGTAGTTAAATGATTCACTAAAAATATCTACGGAGCTCAAATTATTTTTTTTTTTTTTTTTTTTTTTTTTTAATACAAGCACTGGGTACAGTCAGAAGCACAGGAGGGTGAGAGAAATCACCAGAGCCTGAGGGGAGAACAGAGCAGGCAGAAGGACAGATGTACACTGCTGAAAGGAGCAGCGGGCAGCAGGAGAGGTCTGCGCGCCATGTGGGACCCTCCTCCGGTGGCCGGGGAGCAGCCGGGGATCGAACCAGCGCTGAAGAGGCTGCGGGCAGCTTCGCAACCCAGCGCTCAACCGCTGCGCCACCGGGGAGGCCCAGCTCAAATTATTTTTTAAAGTTGATTCACTTTAGAAAGAATCCAAGATTGTTAGGAAAGAAGCTTTGGAGATATTGATCCTCTAAGGTTTGAAACAAGCTGAGTATTGGTTTTTCAATCTCTCGTTATACAATCAACTTTTAATCTTTAAGACTGGATTTCTATACTCATGCTATAACAGATGTTTCAGAAGTACCTTCTATCTAAACAGGTGTGGGGCACTGAGAACAGTGCATGATATCAGAGAGCTTATTTAGGTAGCAGAAAAGAAACTGGGACACTACAAGTGAGCTCACGGTTAAATCACAGTACAGGATTATTATTATTGTTATTATTATTATTATTATTATTATTATACTGATAATAATAAAATACTTTTGCAGGCCAAATAATCATTTGTCTCAAACTTAAGTGTCTAAAATGGAATTTGTTATTACTCTCCTTCAAAGATCCAAAGCCAAAAGCCGTCTTCCACCTCTCCCCATAGTGTACTTTTATCAGCAAAGATAAAACTTTATGTAGAGGCTGATGATACTAGAGTTTGAGTCCTTCTAGCCCTCTCCCTGGGCTCTAGACTATATTCAGCTGCCTGCATGCTCTTTCACTCACCAGCGTCTAGGCAGCTCTGCCTTTACTTGACCAAAGAATGGTACTAATCCTACCATCCTGAAGCTATTCTCTACTCAAGTTTTTACTATCTGCTTATAGCACCACCCTCTATATAGTGGATTAGAATCAACCCACATGAGGTGCCCCTGGCTCCTTTCTTTCCCTCATACTTCACATCGCATTGCCTAGTAAGTCATGTCGCCTCATCTTCTGGATCTAAATTCTGACCCCTTCTTGACATCAGACCTGCAGAGCTCTCATCTAGCCTCCACTTTCACCAGGGCTCTGCCTCCTCCTTCCCCTTATGTCCATTCTTTACACAGCAGACAGAAATGTAAATCAGATCATATCACTCCTTGGCTTCAAATCTGCTGGCTTCCCACTGTAAGTAGAATAAGTGCTAAAACTCTTTTTACAGTGGGCTACAAAGTGCTCTCATTTCTTTCCACACCCCCAGATTCTGTCTCCATCCTCCACCACCAGCTGCTTTTCTGTCCCTTGATCATATTAAGCTCTTTCCCACCTTACCCTTTGTACTTCCCAGCCCTTCTTTACTAGAATGTCACTTGGCCACCTCCTTATTCAGGCCTTAGTTCAAGTGTCACTTTTCATGACTACCTCAGCTAAAGTGGCCCTCCCCCAGTCACTTGTCACAGAGCCCTGTTTTGTTTTCTCCATCAGATTTATCAATGTTTGGATTATTTGTTTACTGTCTGCTTCCTCTGACTAAAACGAAAACAGACTTGTGTCTGGTATGTAGAAGGTGCTCAGTAAATACCTGTTAACTGATAACCTGGATTTTACTTAATGACATCCCCCATCTGTCAAAGTATGGGCCTGTAAATGTCATTCTGACTTATTCTTCTCACCCCACTCATCAACTCTATCAAGTCCTATAGATTCTATTTCACAGATATCTTCCAAATCTGGTTTCGCATACTCCAGTGAGGTCCTCTTCTGTTCACTAGATTGTTTTAAGATGAGCACTTTCTTTCCCAAATCCCTTTCTAAACATGAATGGCAAGTTGTATAACTTCTTGGTCTCATGTCTTGAAATCTGCAGATTAAAGTTCCCACTCAAAACCCTGTTCAAACATTCTCTCCTTGACTTTTTTCCCTGCTCCCCCCACCAGAGATAACCTCAATGTCCTCTTACTACCTGTTGTGACTTTTATGATTTCACTATGGTCTGAGGTAGAGACAGTACCTTAATTAGCTTGTATAACCTCAGCAACTAACACGCTATCCTGTCAGATACATAGTGTGACACAGATGCTATGTCTGATTTCTGCATGGGTAAGTTAATATCTGTGGATGCTGTCTTATAAGTAAATCTCTTCATTAAATTCTATTTTCCACCTTCATTATAATCTTTTAATCACAGCTTTTCCCCCTCACTGCAAAAAAAGAAAGTTTTTCTGATATTTCTTAGGCATTAATCCATAAAGGTCTAATTTACATGATTTTTGGCACCCTAACTACTTTAGTTAAAAAAAAAGTATAATGATTAATTTTTTAAAAAACTATATATCTGATTAAGAAGTTGTAACTATTTTACGTAGTAGGAAGGTTTCTCATTTTTATTTTTAATGGCTATATAAGAAATGCTGATATATTATTTAAAATGAGAACATATTTGAACAATTAGCCTAGGTTGTATAAATCTTAAAAATAACACTCTCGGTTGCCAAAATATCTCATTTTTCTAAGGACCTTTTAGAGAAAGTATCTTTTAGTATATAAAATAGGGGTTTTGGTTAATTCAAACATTTAGATCACTTACTGTTTTCAAGGTTGGACACAGGAGTGGGGAGGATATAACGATATGTAAAACTCCATGACTCTGATTTAGAGAATAAAAAATTCTCAATCTATTCATGGAAAATCAGAAAATTCCACAAGTCATTATAACAAAGCAGAATAAATATGTTCCTTAAACTCCAAAAATATAAAGGTATTTGAGATTTCAGTGGAGGAGGAAATATTAGGGAGTCAAGGCAGGCGAGCTTTGAACCATGAAGAAACTCTTTCTTATTCTTCATACAATTAATTTTTATATGATTAAGTTCCTGTGAAATGAAATCCTTCATTATGTACATTTTTAAAAATTCAGAAGCAAATCATGGTATTAAACTACACCATGAATGGCAATGACAGATAAGAAAGGGTTAATACAGAAATGTAACTTGGCCTTGATTACACTGTCATTTTAATGGCACTTAAAATATTTTGTTAAGTAGTCTGTGATATTTTCCTTACACTTTCTACCCCAAGAATACTTCAAGATGATGTTCCCTTTCCAAGTACAGCCTCCCACTGACATCATGGAAATTCTAGCATCTAGGTAAAATATAATTTGAGAAAAGGAGATCTGGATTGGACTTTAAATAAGTTAATTTTTATATATATTTATGAGATATTTTAATATGTTTAACCAAATAGCTCTGTGAAAAGCAGCATATTTACTTAGAGTAACTCATTAGAAGACTTTTTACTTTATGGAACTGAAAATAATAGAGCTCTCTCTCATTCCAGAAAATCATAACTTCTTAGTATGTTGGTCTCTTCACTTCCTGTCTCCAAATAGTTTAGGGTTTCTCTCAATGACAACTTACGTCAGTTACTAATGTTTCTACCTTATTGTTCCCAAAGTATCGTCACCTAAACTAGAAGAACTTGAGCAACATCATTGAACTATCTAATAATTGAATGTGGTTTCTTTCAGGTTGTGTTTTAGTCTATGTTTTCAGAGCCATTGGGAATTTTTAACCAGAGTCATCATGCTTTGGTGTGTGGAGTTTTGATGTGTGGAATTTTGGTGTCTGGAGCTGTGTGGTATAGGAATGACTTCAGTAAGCCCATGCAAACTTATTAAAATTAAGGTCTTTAGACTCTCATACTTGAGGGGAAAATTATAACTTGGAAGTAGTTATCCAATTGAAGAAAGATTATCCATATCTTCTATTTCTTCCTTTTTTATGTTGCCTTTCTGGGTAAAATTTGGTAGTGAGTTGAAATGACATTGCAGCTACTTACTGCCTCCTGCTATACTTAAGATTGGGTACAGCTTAAGAGGGTAAACCTACAGATTCATGGAGAGCCTGGTTTTGGGTCTTTGCCATTATGACTCATCCCTTAAGGGAATACACATTACAAGTAAGCAAGTCA